CAAATCCAAATCTCATATTGCTAATCCCCAGTGTCCATGTCTGTAAAATGGAGGATATAGCCATGTCATGGAGATGTTGTGAGTGTTAAATGCTTAGCATAAATGTCAACTACTTCTTATTATCTGAATTACTAAAGTAAGGGTGTGCTGACTCATGCCTTAAGGGGTTGGCTTGATTTAGCTTTTTCTCCCAGGGAGCTCTTCTTGATTTAGCAACAGTGCTTTCGAAGATGTGATACATTTTCCAATGTGCCTGCCTAGTTCTCCAGAAACACTGGGCACGTGGACCTCAAATATTATAAAAGAAACACATTGGAGCCTTATCCTACTGCTGTCCTCAGCCCTAGGCTGGCCTGTCCTAGAGGCAAGACTGCTTTAGGCTGAGGGTCTATGGATACTTTGAATAAACAGATCCCCAGGGTGGAGTCTAGAGGAAAAAGACTTGAAAAACAAATTCAAGAGAAACTGAATAGTATCTCATGAATAGTATCTCATGAAGTTGTGCTGTATATGCAAAGAACCCACTGCCCTTGCCTAACTATATTTGGCTACCATGAACACATTTTAAAATGAGGTGTTGTTTCTCCCCACTGCCTTTCAATGTTTCAGCCAGTCATTTGCCACTTCTCATTCCATCTTGGTTCTCTGTGTAGAAGGTGCCAGAGACTAAAGGTGCCTCGGGAAATTCTGCATTTCACAAGTCTAAGCTTTGGAATGAAGTCATCGATTCACTCTCTCCAGACTACAGGACGGTTATTCCTTTGCCTTGCTGGAAATTAGAGTAAAATCTTCCCATTGGTCAACTTCAACTAATCTACAGTTTTGAAGAGTTATTGATGATCAGGTTAGAGAATTTTAAGTCAAAGGTAGAAAAAACGTACCAGACGGACCATCAAAAACTTTGCTTCAAAAAGTGTACTTCTTAAATATATTTAATCTCAAAGAGTATGAAGTTTTATGAATGTATGCACAGACACTTTTCAAATGTTTATAATTTTAAGGAATGTTGGGGAGCTTCTTGTAATTGATTTAGGGAATCTCTAGATTCTGACACATTCTAAGTTTTTTAATGGCAGGGACCATATTATATTGATTTCATAGGCCTAGGTCCCTAACAGAGTGGCATCAATTCATATGTAGGCATAGAATATTATGTAAGAAGACCTAGAACAATGACCATAAAATCAAACTGAAACATACATAGTAAGCAAGCAACTGATATTATTAATATCTGACTTTAACAAAAAGAATATACAAATCCCTCCTTACAACTAAAACCCAGTTTCTTCGAATTCGGCTTCTTTCCTCTTTCAGAATGAATACGTGTCTAATATTTTCCCATTGCAGATCACGGGGGTCAACATTCTAAACTGTTTGTGTTTCTGCAATAACCTTTCAAATTTGCTGGACCAGTGCAAGATCAAACACAAGTTACTCTCAAGTCTCAGTGTAAAGGAACACCGTGACAGCCTGGGTTGTGAGTGAAGTTAATTCTTTCCCAGAAGACTCTGCATCTCATTGTCAGGGTTGGATGCACCCCAAACACAGATGCCAAGGAACCAAGAAGCCCAAGAATGTTCAACCACAACCCGTCTGCCAAGGTGTTTGATGAAGTCTGCCATTCAGGCAAAGATCGTTTGGATTCCAGGCCCTCTAAATAGCAAAGTGAACATTGTTCTGTGTGCTCAGAAAGATGTTAATAAACAGTGCAGAGCAGAGCTGAAAGGCGCCTTGTGAATGTCGGAGTGAGAATGTGGCTGTCCCAGCCGCAAAGCCCTGTTAGGAGACATGTCGAAGCACTCGCTGCCCTAAGAAACAATGTCTTTGACATTCTCAGAAAACCCGAGTGGCTGTCTGGAAGAGTTAAGAGAGCAGATCGATGCAATATTTGGGAAGTCGAGGGTGTTTGTTACTGGCATGACATCATAACATAAGAGCTTTCCCTCTTCTCATTGCCATCATTTATGCCAACCAAAGAGTTGATCTCTGGTTATCCTAAAAGGAATATAGTAGGGATATTCCCCATGTCAGCTCATGGGACATCGGTAATTTGTGGGGAGAAGATGAACCATATGAGACAATGATTTGTCTATAGTACAATTGTTTTTTCTTACAAGGGCCAAGAAAACATCAGAGCACCTGTAGAAGTCCATCTTATCTTCAAAACTCCCTGTGAGTTTTTTTTCATTCATATTTCATTATTGATATTTGTTATGGACCCCATCTTATCTTCAAAACTCCCTGTGAGTTTTTTTTTTCATTCATATTTCATTATTGATATTTTGTTATGGACCAAAAAAAACAAAAAACAAAAAACAAAAAAAACCAAAAAAACCCCACAAAATTGTCTTCAAACCAAATCAAAGGGAAAGAAAAAACAAAAAACAAAAAACATACTAACGGGATGTTTAAAACCAGAAAGTACATCAAAATACATTCTACATTACTTCAGCTGATTGGGAATGACCAAAGGAAACAGCCAGTCCCTTTAGCCCATAGCTGGAAAAGTCTATTACTCAGGGGCGGTTTATAGTTGGTTCTATACTTCCTCGCCCCCACCCTCCTTCCAGGAACTAGATTCCAATTCCGTGGTGATAAGCTTCGGGAGGGGCAGACTGCTTCAACAGTGAGCTACTTGGGATTGGTATGAAAAATCGGCTCCAAGGACAGTCTGTTCATTTTTAGAGAGTTGTCTGGGGGACACAGGATCTGATTAGAGGAGGGGCAGGGAAGCACAGACAGCACACCAACAACGAAGGCAAAGCACCGCTAACTACAGAAACGAGGGACCGTCGGAAGCCAGGCGAGCAGCACAGAGTGGCAGTGGCGAGGAGGCTCTCTGGATGTGCCGGGGAGGGGCACTGGCCGCTCTCATTCCACAGTGAAAGAGCTTGTCAGGTGTTAGGAAGGTGACTGACTGAGTGTGCTGGCTGAAGAGGAATTTCAGGGCAAGCAGAAGAGTGAAGGTGCTTATCAATTTTAAATAATACCAAATTAGGACTTGCCATTTTGAGAATCCCAAACCCACGATCTGGATAAAACATGAAAATAAAATAAAAAGCTGGGGATGTTAGTATATTTTATTCAGATTTGTGGGTTCTGGGAATGGTAAAATAATTCACTGATTGATTACCTGTCTTATTGTAAAATCTAGAAGTAAAGAGGATGATAAAAGTCTGCCATGACTCAAATAGCGACTATGCCATCAGTTGTATTGAATCCTGTGTGCACACAGAATAGCGTTTGATCCTAAGTACCAAATGGTCTACGTACCATGAAACAAAAGTTTGGAGGGGTCCAAATATTTTAAGCTCTGAGATTTACTTATACTTTCCACTTCAAAGAGTCTCTTCCAATTTATTAGGAAACCGTGAGCATGAAATGAGTAATTTCTCAACTACCCCAAGGCAGACCCAAGATAGGCCTACCGCAATCATGGACCATTTTCATCATCCTCTTGGAGTTCTAGAGCAGTGTGGAAACCAGGAGAATAAGGTACCTGCTATGTGGACTGTTGACAGAGGGTCCAGGCTGTGAGAGACTACATTTGCCTCGTGGCTGTTTGCAATGAACAGGGGTAAAGAAAGAAGAATGTTCAGTCCAGGCAAATAAAGACAAGCTACTGATGAAAATTAAACTAAAAAGTGCGGCAAAGGAAAAACAAATCAAACGAGTCGATCAGTACCCATGAATTAAGGAAACTGGCTTTTCTTTGGTAGAAGAAGTAAAATAAATTGACAGCCATGTTACTAGTCATTGAAGACACATAAGTTGTGGTTCAGGAGTCCACACTCCAGTGGGTGGATTTCCCCCCACTTTTCACGGTAGAAACACAAGTGACTCCATATTAGCCAAGAATCTCTGTATATTTACTCACGATAGAAATAAAGTTCAATAATATACCATGCCACATCGTATTTTTTTCATCTTCTGGAACACTGAAACAATACTAAAATTTTTGATAAATATAAATTAACAACGATAATATGAAATTGTTCTTTGTAGAGTCACGAAGACCCAAAACATTAAATGCTCACGTTAATTAAAGGCTAAAATTTGACTCAAAAAGCCAGTATTCCTTCACATTCTTAAACTAGGATCTATAGGAAACTAGTGAATGTAGTAAAAAAAAAATCCTAAAAAAGGTCATAACATTTATCAGCATAGAACTTAAGTGTTTATCACACACACAAAAAATACAAATGAAATCAGTACTTCTAAAAACTAAGGAAAACAGAATGATAATAAAAATGAATATAATCATAAAGCTGGACAAAAAAAATAACAAAAAACAAGCTTCTAATTACACAGAGAAATTAAGGTATAGAGTGTAGCAGGGGCCAAATTTGTCTTGTGTGCTGGTAAGATGGACACCCCCGGCAGGCCTGTGGGTGAGTCTCCTTAAGTTGTTGCCATTTGTGGGGGACAGCACGGTCACGGAAAACCTTCAGGGCCACTCAGGAGCTTCTTGGCTTGAGAACCTCCACTCACCTTACAAATGGCCTCATGAGATGCACACAGTTCTGTCCACCTCTGGCTGAGGCACCGTTTTAAGTGGAGCCTGTTTTGTTAGGTGGACCGTGGTGCTGGTGGTTTGAAGGGAGGAGCCACTGAAAGGGACAAGGGAGCACCATTCTAGAGATGGCCCCTGGAGCAAAGTAACTTGTCTCCCTGCGTCCCCACCACATGTTGATTCTTTTGAAAACAGAACCTCTCTTTTCCGTTTCTGAGTGCTGGCGGGGAGGGCACGTGGCAGGGCTAAGGAAACAGCGCTTCAGTGAGTCAGGGTGTGACAATCTCTCCTGGATGGGGGTCCCTGCTTTGTCTGGGGAAGAGCCTGTGGACCCTGGTGGGTACGAACTCCCTTTCTGAGTGCTGGCGGGGAGGGCACGTGGCAGGGCTGAGGAAACAGCGCTTCAGTGAGTCAGGGTGTGACAACCTCTCCTGGATGGGGGTCCCTGCTTTGTCCGGGGGAAGAGCCTGTGGACCGTGGTGGGTACGAACTCCCCAGGGTTCCCTCCCATGGGCCAACTGAAAAACACTGGTGGAAAGTTACCGTTCTCTGTCTGTTTGGGCTGCTTCTTCCTGACGTAGGACTCACAGATTCTGAGGTGTCCAGTTCATCAGCAGAAGCCCAGGAAGACAAATCCTACATGGAGAAGAGATTCTTTTGGCAACTCCGTGTTCCCGAGCCATGATGGTTCTGTAACACGCTATGTGTTCCCCCCCGCCCACCTGCATCCCCCATAAAAATCAAACCTTTCCTTGGGGAAAATAGAATCAGACAACCACAAGAAGAACAGAACCTAACTCTTCTAGTGTATCTGGATTTCTTGCTTGTAAGTTTGTCCCCTTTTCAGAAAATACCCCTATAGGTTTATTACTATGTCACTCGTAGTTTTATTATTTCTTAGTGACATGGATGTGACTGTGTGGAAGTGGAAAAGGTGAAGGAATCTGCCTTAGAGCTACAGGTCAGGTCAGAGAGAAGCCAATTCACCTGAGTTAGAAACAAAACATAGTCCTCAAGGAGCCTGCCTTTGAGCATCAGAGAAATTATATTGATTCCAGCACTGCTGGTACTTGGAGTAGATTGTTCTTTCACATTCTTATAGGAGGGCAAAGTGTTTGTGCATTCATAAAGGGATTTCACAACAGAATGAAGTTTTACCAAGCATCTCTGTACCTGCAAATGCATTTCTCAAAGCCAACACTACTACCGTGATGCAGTAGGTTTAAGAAAAATAATAAAAAAATAAATAAATGAGCAGAGGACATTTTCTATGGATTAATTGCTGTTTATGTTGGGAGAATTCAACCTTCTAGTGTCTGAATATGAAAGTCATATGTAACCATTGGTTGTGATCTACCATAGCTATGATACTGAAAACATGTGACTTCTTAAAGAAACAGGGTAAAATAAAATGTCACAATAGTGGCGGTAATAAGGTCACCAGTAATAGTTACAGGAGGTCTTTTGGGTGTAAGAGAATCAAAAATGATGTCCTATTAAAAAAGTTTGAGTCGCTTTTCTGAGACAGGACTTGTAAGAGCAGCGACTGAGAGTAGAACTCTGTTCTGATAAGTATTACATTCGAAGACTTTCTAAAATGGATAAAGATGATGCTTCTTTGGTATCTTGTAAGAAATGCCACACAGTGATGTCTGTTCAGAGCTTACCTGCTGACTGCTTGACAGGTCTAATGACTTCTCCAGCTCCTTGATGTGATGACTGACTTCCTTCAAGAGAAGTTTGAGCCGATTTCCAATCACATGGACTTTTTCTTTGGCTTCTAAACAGTCTGTGCCTTCAGCATTCACCAACAATTGGCAAGACATGTCTTGTAGCGAGGCCACTTTGAGTTGGGATTCCAATAGCTCACGCTTTATTTGCTATGCACATAATAAGACATGTTTTCATAAGAATATTTTATAATTGGAGAAAGTATGGGGTGACATAACTTTAACTGAGTGGGAGATTATACTTGAGGATCAGAACGCTGTGCTCACGTAAGGAAGGCTGCACAGCCCATGGCATTTGGGAATTAGGGGCCTGTGTTCTAATCCTGCCTCTGACAGAAAACATTCTACAAGGCCCCTGACCCTTTCTGATCTCAGTTTTCTCATTTGGTAAAATGAGGATACTATCTCCTGCCTGGTCCACAGTATTATTGGAAAGTTCAAATTAGTGAATCTATGTGAAAAAATTTAAAATATAAAGTATTATGCAAATGAGACGTAAGGTATTCTTTAAAACAGAAAAGTAAAACATTACCATAAATCTAGCAAACCTCACGTATGTCTAGGTATACTCTGATATCTGCTCAAGATTTTTAGAAAGATATATGGAAGATTTGTCATTCACAGCTTAAAAGTCTGAGGTCAAAAGTCTAGTGAAAATGCAGTCCCACAGCAATTTCCTCTGTTTCTAAGATCTTTGCAGTATTGAATTAAAAGCTACCAATTCTGTTGGTTACGTGAGTGAGTGTTAAATGTTAAGAAATAACATTTGAATAATACAGAAAGCTACGAAATGCAAATCATTTTCTCCTAATGGAACTCAAATATGCTTCTTTATCTTCTATAAAATCACTTGAGTACACTGTATGCTACACTGTCCAAAGTTCCTTGCATAAGAATCCACTCAGAAATTCTGCAAGCTTCCTTTTGAATTCACTGCTAGAAAAAGTTTCCTGCCCCTTGAGAACAGGTGTTTTCTTTTTGTTCGACAATGAAAATTTAACTCATCACATTTCCTTTTTTGTCTTAACTTTCAAGTTAACGTTAAATTCCGTACACTTAATTCCTCGTAAGAAGTCTTAAAGCTCTCTTTCTATTTTAACGGTTTTAATGTCCTGTTATTACAAACCACCTGATACATTTTTGGGACTTAGATATGACCAATACAGTTTAAATCAACAACAAGTATAATTCGCCAAAGACTCATTTTAATAAAAATAAGCTAATTAAGATTAAGCACACCTACAATGTCTACAATAGAGCAATCGCTTTAGAACCAGATTCTAAAGCTAGTGGATATCATCTTCTACGGACATGTTTGCTTCACAAAAATTGGAAACTATAAGGAGTAAAGAAAGAGCAAGTTAGAGACTCTAACTCAAAAGGTAAAAAAATATTACCACCTATGTTCTTTTTCTGTAAATGAAATGTGTCGCTGCTCAGAATGCCAGTGGCTGCCAGGGTTCACACGTCTTACCATGAGCTGTTTGTGATGGTCCTGAAGTATCTCTGTGTCGAGATTAGAATCAAAAGGAACAATTTCATTTTTCCTTCTGTCAATGTTCTCCAGCATAAGAAGCAAACCATGACTCATTTCATGAAAATCCTAGCGCAAAAAAATATAGAGTATAAAATCATCTTGAATTCTATATTTTTCTTTTCCCCACAACTTAAATTTCCATTCTGAACAATTGCTACCGTTGGCAAAGATAGGTTGGTTTTAAGATTTTATACACGACGTCTCTCTGAGAAAGGCACTGGTGCTGTTGTAATTATCTTAGGTCACATTCTTACCAAAAGCATCAAACTGATTACTTCATGGAAAATTTAGACATAAGGAAAATTGATTCAAAATACAAAATATTAGAGAAATTTCTAGGGCTACTGTATAATTTGGAAGGAAGCAACTCTGTTCCCCTTGCTCCTCCTGTATGTATGCAAATCGTCCCATCTCTTAAGGCCTAAATCCAATCTCATAACCCCTTCATTCATCCATCCTGCCATTCATTCATTCATTCATTCAACGTATAGTCCTTGAAGATCTCCTATGCAGAAGGCACCGTTCTAGGAGTGGGTGCAGAGCTGAAACAACAGCTTGCGAATCTGATCTCAAGGAGCGATTACTCTTGGGGCCCATATAAAATCTAAACTCCTGGCCAGGACCTACAAGGCCCTGCATGGCCTGGTTCCTGATCACCTTCCCAGTCCTTCTTACCACTTCCTGCCTCTCTGATGACTTTCTGATGATCACTTTTGTCCCTTTTTTTGCCCTCAAAGATGGAAAAGTTCCTGTATCTCGGACTTCTCGTTTGCTCTCTCTCTCTCTTTCACAGAATCATCCTTCCAATATCAGTTCAAAGATCCATAGCCCTTCCCTGACCACCCTCCCAAAGTGGCTTTTCTCTGTTACTCTTATCCTCAACATCTTGGTTAACCATTTAATTGCATTCTTATTGTCTGTCTTCCCCAACAGAAGTAGAGGCTGTGCTGTATCTTGGCTGCTTAGGGAAGTATCTGTCAGACAGTGTCTACTTATCAATTGTGGTATGAATAAATAAATAAATATTTGTAACGTTCGCTTTGATGTTTCAAGAAATGTCTTCTTATGTGCTTAGTAAATACCTGTTGAATGAATGAATGAAATAAATGAATGAGTCAAAGAAGGAATGTGGGGGCTGAGATAAACTTATGGAAATAATCTCTTGTTAGCTGGATAGAAGATGGGGTCTAGAACTTGTACATGATCTAGTAAAATGAAAATTGGGGCACAAAGTTCTTTCACTCAAATATTGACGTTGAGGAGTAACTGCATCCCTCTAGTGACCTTGATAAATCAAATCACAGACTCAGCTACACCGGAAATGTCTCACACTGTAACATGGCCTACCCAAGTCCCTACAAACCTGACACTGCATCAGTGCATCCTGGAGCAGCCCCCGCCAGTCCTCCAGCAATGAGCACACCCTGTCCCAGCGTGCGTTCATCTGGGACAAGCGATCCTGCAGATCCCGGCTCTCCTCACCACCGGTCTGGGTGAACTCAGAGCTGCACAGGTTGATGGAGAGGATGATGGCTTTGCGATGGTCCACGGCTTTCTGGAGCTCCTGAAAAGAGGAAGGAGGACAAACAAGGAAGACGACAATAAAAACATTAAAAAATATTCTAAGACCTTTGGAAATGCTTCACCCCCAAAATAAAATCCATTAATTAAAATTGGCCTTAACAAGACAGCTAGGTTAGACACAGTAGATCTGTATCACTGAGAATCATTCTGTAGTTAAAAGCTATGGATGAGAGGTACTCTTGACAACATAAATAAGTCTTAGTAAAATATGGTGTAGAGTGAATGAGTCAGAAGCAGAATGATATGTGCAACATAATAGCATTTATGTCATTTAAAATACATGTGCACACACAAAAATCTACCTTTTTCATGAATGCATGTTAACAAAGAACATTCATTAAACATTTCAGAATGGTTGCCATGGGTTAGAGGAATGAGGATTAAAAAACAGTGAGGGAAAAAAGATAAATACACAAAATTAAGAGAATTTTGCAGGAAGTAACTACGACCCTGCGCAATGAACTAAGGAGTATGATTAACTCAACCCCCAGCAGGGGAGTTCAACACAACAAACAAAACAACACAAAACCTGGCTCCAATAGTTCTGCACAGCAGGAAATACACTTTTCCTAGTATAAGAATCCCATTTCACTTGACCACTGGTACTCAAAGGTCTGTGCATAAGAATGGAATGAGAAGCTTGATGAGAAAGCAGATTCCCAGGCCCTGGCCTCCAGTTGTTCTGACTCCATAGGTACAGGTGGTGGCCCACAGGCTGAGGACACTGCATGTCATAGGCTACCTTCTTGTAAAGGTAAAGTGTATGCAATGGAAATTTCATCAGCTAACCAATTTAGTTTAACTTCTCTGTCTGCCTGTCTGTCTGTCTGTCTGTCTGTCTGTCTCTCTCTCTTTCTCTCTCTCTCTCTCACACACACACACACACACACACACACACAAAATAGGAAACTGACTTTTTACTTTGTACATTTCCCAAAAATCTAGAACTAAATTCCGAGAACTTGAGCCCATGATTCCATATTAATAATTGAATAGCTAGGTACCATTTGAACATCCCCAGATCAAATTAGGGCGAGTGAGCCTGCAAATCACATCTACCCGGGCTACATTTTCTTATAATTTCTCACCATTTCTGTGATGTTGTCAACTTGTCTTAATTTTTCATTTTTCAATACATTCTTAATATGCTGTCATGTAGATTCAGCCACAGAGACAGTATAAGATCAGGAGATATTGTGGAGAGATACTTGGTTATTCCACAGATTTATCCCCAGAAAACAGATGGGGTTATTGGGAAGGGGTACAGAAGAAGATGACTTTTCTCGTCACACAGGCCAACTGCCACTTCTTACTTTTCCACCCTGATCTCGCTTTAGGTCTCAAACTCCGGCCAACATTTGCTTCATCCCCTTTTAAGAAAATCTAGTTTTAATGCAACACTGCCTTATATTTTCCCAAAGAGGAATTAACGTAATGTAAGTATTCTAGAGAGAGATGCATTTTAAAGTCCAGATAATGTAAATTGCCATCTCCCATCTGATGCTTCATCCTGAAATTGATGGGGCTGGTACAGAGGCTTCTCTATAAGAAGTCTGAGCATCTGTGGGGAAGGCTCATTTCTCTGTTTGAAAATTTAAAACAACGAGCATCAAAGCAAGCCACCAAAACATCACCCCCAAATAAATAGCATCGAGTGAAACCAGAGAGACACAAAAGCAGCACACTTCATCCTTAAACCTGGAGAGCCTGGCTATAGCTTCGTTAGGAAGAGCACGTTTTCATGTTCTCCAAACAAAAAGACAGAAGCAAAAGAGCTATTAAAAAGAAACTGTGCTCTCTACAGTATGTTTACAAAAGTCTCTACATATTAATGCAGTTCAATAGCTGGGCTAAGGAGGATTTCTAAGATCCAGAGATGGAGTAAAAGGAAGTAATCTTATGTACCGTACCCACACAGGCAAATGTCTGGTGTTTTACCACACTGATTCCACAGTTGTTTCATCTTATTCATTACTGAAAATGGCTACTGCCAATACAATAATCTATATCAGAAGTTCTGCAGAATGTTAAATGCTTTCATTAGCTTTCCACGAACTCGCAAGATAAAAGTTTTAGAGAGGATTCCTGCCCAGCTCTAGATACAGATTTGTGAGAATGTGATCATATCTCTATTTCTCTTAAAAGAGGTTAAATAGGCCCCGGATGTACCTGGATGGTTCACGAAATTTTAACTGGTTATTTTTTAAACACCAGTCCATTAAATTGCACGTGATTATTTCCATGGCGGTTAGTGCTCCAACGTGGCCCAGCTTTCTGCCCTTCTAAACCTTCTCTATAAACACTCTGACTGGGGATGGCTGAGGGAAAGGAGAGCATATGTGTTTCATTCTGTCGAAAATGTCTCTGCTGCCGTGTCACAGAGCAGCTAGAGCTACTGGTTTCATCTGATCAGCCGTTCCACGTGGCAGCTTGCTGTCTGGCTGCCTCGGGAAAGGCGAGGACTGCTACCTTGAGCTTTTTTATTTGCAGCTCGATGGACGGGATGTCAGTGCTGAGCGCCAGGCGCTGTAGCTGCTCCAGTTCCTCCTCCGTGTCCCCGAGCCAGGTCCAGATGTTGTTGAGGTCGGAGTTGAACTGCTGCCACTTCTGGAGGTTCTGTTTCATTCTCAGCTCCTTGCTCAGGGCCTGAGCCTGTATGAGCTCCCATCGGTCAATCACACCTGGCGAGACATGACATGCGTAGAGTAGGAAGGCATATTTCTCCATATATGATGCTTAGGAAATGCTTTAAACATACATTGGTGGCTAACTTTAAACGGCAACAGAAAGAAAAGTAATTCCACTGGGCATTTCGGTTGTCAGCTGCACATAACAACATCACATGGCTATGTTTTTCCTATCTGTAATTTTAATGATAATGGAGTAAAAAAAAAAATAGCTATATAGGGTTTAACACTGTAAAGAGCTTTATGGAACAATAAGCAGTAGCACGCATGAGGATAACATCCAATTCTTGGTTTCTTCCTACAATAAATATAACTCTGAGAGCATACATGTAAGATGCCTGACTAGTGATGCTGGAGACGGTGCAGTAAAATATATGAGACAAGGAAAAACACCACCGTGATGCCTTCTGCCTCCCTCTTCTGCATAGGAGAGTCACTGGACCATGGAAAAAAGTACTTAAGACCGAACGGTGAAGAGTGAGGTAAGCAGCAGGGGGCAACTCAGGTGTAAGAAAGTGTTTCAGAATCTTCCGTTTCACTCTGTCTTGAATTGAGCCCTTGTCACTCACCAGCTGTTTGGGTTTCCGTGCTATTCAGGTTAACAAAGCCGGGAAAATTCTCTTCTTCCTCCTTCAGTTTGTGCTCCAGCCTCTTCACTGAGTCGATACTGCCGCTGCATTCAGCCAGCAGTTTCATCTGTGTAGACACAGAAAACAGGCCCCTGTCACAAAATTCTCACATCCTCACAAGTGCAAGAGCTTCTGGGGAACATATCTTTGTAGTTCCTCAAAAAGGACAGTGGCTTTATCTTCTTTGTGCTACTCTGCTCAAAAAAAGAAGGTCAGGTTCAAAACCATACTTCTTAAATATGTGACACCTTCATATATACCTAAAGCAATGCCTTGAAGACATACTTTGCATATGTGGTTTTGCATGAGAAGCCCTCAGAATTTCTTTTAAGTTTATGAATCAACAGGCTTGAACTTAAAACTCAGAACTCTCAGCTGCATTACAGTATATAATTTTTGGCAAGTCACTCCCTCTTTCTTAAACTGAAATGTGGGAACAACAACATTAGCACAGATGTCAAAGAAGTTTTTTTTTTACATTAAATAATTAAAATACTTAAAAGCATACAGGAATATTAAAGCCAGCTGTCAGATGAAAAAATTTAAGCACTGTTCGATAGGCATTAAGGAAATAAGTTCTAATATCAAAAGAGAAACTTCCAACTCTATGTTTCATATCATGCACAGGATTCAAAGATTAAAGGAACAACTCGTTTCAAGGCACTCCTGCTATTCTGACCAAAACTTTATCTTTCAATGATTTTAACAAATCACCTTGCTAGTAAGTGATTTTAATTACATTTGATTGAGATTGAGTATAACCTCAGTGACGTCGGCATGCCATCAGAAAACTGTGTTATATTTTGAAAAAAGAGGTTTCATAATAATTGAAGTCAGTATAATAGGCCCGATTGGACAGGAATTAAACTCAAGATTGGGCTCCTTCGGTAACCGTGAGCTCACGGACACTGGCGTGTGTACGGGAACGGTTCTCCTCCCTGGTTTCAGGAAGCAGTGGGTATGAGTTGTCATTAGACTTAGAAAAATTAAGTTTTCTTTTCTTCTACCAGGCAGTCTTTCGGGTGTGAAAAAAAGATAAGAGGCATGGAAGGGATTTTCAAATTCTCTTGCTTAAATATGTGTAAGAGAAAAGGTAATTCTCTGAGAAAAATTATTTGGTCGGTAGCTTGAACAGGGCAAATAAAGTCATTACGTATTTTACTAAGAACTTCAAAAAAAAAAAAAAGAAATGGTAATGTACACGATCTTTTGCCATCTTTTCCACAAATCCCTCTTGTTAGAATTGTTTTGTCCAGAATGAGTATACTAAAAACAGAGGATAAAAGCATTCCCAAAGCCATCCAGTGAATCGATAAACACAGGAAAAGAACTACAAAAAACTCTGTATTAGTAACTTATTAGCTAAAATCTGCTGCTCCAAGGATAACCATGGTCCAAAAATTATTAGCCCAATTTGGAAAAATGCCTAATCACTTTCGGGAATGAAAAGCTTTTGTTGCTTTCAGTTAAACCGATCTCACTAAGTTCTCTGTTTAGAGGCTGATCATTATAGCAGGTTCGTGGGCCTGAGCATGGTCCAGTTTGACTCAAAGGTAACCTGCTCACAGGGCTATGTGTTACACACCCACACCCATGAGTTCAAGGGCAGCTGGTATTTGGAGAGCTCATGAAGCCCTCATGCCCCAGACAAATCGTTCTTTGTCACATGACTGTGATTCCCAGGTACTTGTCCAGATCGTGAAGGTCAGGATACTCACGTAGCCTCTGTAGCTGGCGTCCAGCTCTGGTCCTGTAGGAGTTTTGCTGCGGATGATGTTTTCAGTTTGCTGCATCTGAAAGCGGCTGTCATCCAGGGCCTTGTCCAGTTGTCGGATCTTTGACTCTAAGGAGCTGGGATCCCCTGCAGTGTCAACCATAAGAATTTTTACAAGCTTGGCAAGCTTGACATTCAAGAAGTTTACTTATTTCAGTTAAAGCTGTATAGAAATGGCATGTGTGTGAGTGATTATAAAGCAAGTTCGGATTTAACATGCTCGTGGGTTAGAAGTTTAAATGACCAGAGCGATGAATGTGTTTGACTAAGAGTCCTAGCCAACTGGATATCGCAGTGGGTTCTAGCAGCCTGTGTGTCTGTTCCCTCTCGCAGCTGATCCTCCGAAAGCCTGCGAGTTGTGAGCCGTGGAAGGCCTTTCCGAGAACGTAAGGTGGTGCCTTCTGCTCTCCAGTAACTAAAAGGAGATTATTTCTTATGCTCCCTCTGCAGTCACTTATCAGGTAGAAAAAGATACACTCTCTCGTTTTTCTTCTGCATCTTAGAAGACAGTGCCACTGAAGTGCCAGGTGGCTGTGTCATTCACTTAAAGCATGACTTCGAGTTAGACAAGAAAAGACTAGCTTAGGATAGATATGTACAGAAACACCAAACTAGCAACATCTTGCTTTTGTTTAAAATCTGAAACGAAACCAGGAGAAAGCTAAGATGTTAGCATTTCAATCTAGGCATGCTCTTACTCACAGCCTAGAACTCCTGGCTCATTTTCCCTTCAGAGATGTAATATCTTTTAGCGAAATTCTTATTATTTGTGTGTACGTGTATTGAAGTCTTTTGAACTGAACAAGAACATTGATCATCGGAGTGAAGCTAGCACAGGGTGAAAGCAGAACAAATATTAGTAAGTTTTATGAATTTTCTTTTTTGAAGGAAGGTCTTCTACATACACCTGGAAGAGGTCTCTCACTGAGAATCACTCAGATAGTCATCATTTCATTAATGCTAATGCGCAACCTGTTCTTTCGTTTTTCTACAAAACTTAAGTGTTAAATAATAACCCTGCAATTCAATATCACATCATTCTATTCAAACCCTACTCTCTCCACCCTCCTCCATATAGCTGACCTTGAACTACATACAGTTGGTCTAGTGCAACATTAAGCAAAATTGGTTTCATTTTTTTTCCTTCAATTCTTATTCCAGGAATCATTCTGTCCTTAAAGGAAAATCTAAGTCTTAAGATACTGTGGAATATATTTTTCATTTCAAATTATTTCATGGGGTAAGACAGTAAATAAAATTACATGTTTTTAGAGCTGAACATCTCATCTGGTCTCACTCCTTATCTGATGTGACCACTGAGACCAGGAGGATGAGCGACACGCTCGAGGGCACACGTGCAGGCTGGTGGGTTTGGACAGGGACCCCAGCACTTGACTCCCCAGCCACAGGGAGATGAGTGACCCATCAGAGTCATGCAGTCAGTGCCGCTACAGTCAAGTAGGGCGTAGGAAGCAAATGCTGCAAACTAGCATTTCCACCTCCTATTTTTTGCTGTTAATGGATATCACAGCTCTATACTTAATGAGACTGATTACCATTGAACGGGTTGAGAAGTTATTTCATTGCACTTGATTACTGAAATCTTATTCTTGGTGTTGATCAACCCCTCCAATTTCTTTCCCCCTAGTACAGCAGTCAGAGAGGAAGGTTCTGCCTTAACATGCTTGTGCCACAGAGCTGTGAGAGAGGTACGGGAGATGTGCTAAGAGGGGAGGCTTGTTACAGGTGAGAAAGGGAGGCTCGCTTCGGCTTTTAGTGCCTACCAGAGGCATTTCTGATGGCACGCTCTGTGAGTTTTACATAGGCCTCGGGATTTCCGGGGATGATTACATCTGCAAAAAGAGCACAGTCTAAGTTGACAGATAAGTTCTGCGGATACTGATTCCCTTGTGGCAGGAAAACAACTTTCCTAGGGGAAAAGAGGAAGTGAGCCATTGTAGACGGACAGCTCTGAGCATACGGAGAAGTTGCACATGCATACCGAAGGTTTCCTGAGCGAATCGTAATAGGGGCTCGCACTGGTTGACGGTGTTTTATGAGCCAGGCACTGTTTTAAGCACTCATTTATCCTCACAGGAAAGCTACAGGGTGCATGGGAGGGTTATTCCCATTTTATCGATAAGAAAGCTGAAGTCCAGAAAAATTAAGTTATGTATCCAAGTTTCAACAGCTGGTCAGTGGCAAAACTGGGGTCTCAATCCAGACAGTCAGATGCTAGGGCAGCATTGGACCAGGCCGCTAGAAATAACGTGAGCCATGTGTGTGACTTTAAAGATTCTAGCAGCCACATGAAAAATAAAAAATGATGAAAATAATTTTAATACTTCACCTTACTAAACTGATATATCCAAATCACAACACGTAATCAACATGATTATGATTAATCTTTTACATTCTTATTTTATGTCTTTGAAATTCACGTATTCGTGTAAGTGCATTTGATGCAGCAAATCTCAATTTGCACAGTCACATTCCAGTGCTTGACAGTCACAATGCAGCCACAATTCAACAGTGCTACTTTAGGTGCCAAATGCCTAAGTATGACGCTATACCGTAAAGACAAAATAGAAATGAGAGAAGTCACATCTTTCACCAAGATGCCTAAGTCAGAATATTGCCTCAACCCCAGTTCCATCCATCGTCAGTTGTGGAGGGGACTTGTGGTGATTTCGTACATCCTTTCCGTTCTCTATATTTAGAATGCTGCTTCCTGAGTCCAGGCCACCATCTTATCTGTCCTGGATTATAAAACATTTCCATTTGGACTTTTTTCCTCCCAAAGCACTCTGCTCCATATAGTATCAAGACAGGTGTTTTGAAAATATGCCTCTGATCACATCACCTCCCTCCCCGGACCACTGCTGCGGCTGCCCATGACCTTCAGGATAAAAGCCAAACTCCTTCCACGTAAACAGGTGGCTATATGACCAGGCTGCCTTTCCACTTCCTCTGCCCCACTCACTCCATGCTTCCCAACCTACAGCCTTGTCGTTCTGGACAAATTTCAGGTGACCGGAAATGCTGTGGCCAGCTGGGATGGGAGCCCTCTCCTTTCCTTCTCTGAATGTTGCTGCATCGGCCTGACTGGGTCCCACTCACCCTTCAGGCCTCAGCTCAAGAGTCCCTCTCTGAAGCCCTCTGTCAAAGCTCCAGTGAGCCGTCCCTCGGCTGGCCTTCTGTACCGCCATGTGCCCATGGCTGTCCTAGCGCCACACAGGTCTTACCCATTGTCTCTGTCCACCTAGAGGATAAACTCTTTGAGACGGAAAGGAACTGTGTATCCCCAGTACTTAGCAAAGCGCTCGTCACCTAATAAGAACCTAAGTCTAAGTGGGACAAACCCATGGCCACACCAAATGTTGTATTTGATGATCACACAAATATCTGGTTGTTCTCTTATGAGCGATTTCCCGTAATGGGAGAGGAACGAAGACGACTCTGCTGAGCTCACGTGTTTCCCGTACAATATCCATTCCCTTTTATTTTCCTTCGGGCTGCCATACAGGAAGAGCTCTTTCCTACCTGATAAGCCAACAGCTCCCCTGGGGTAGAAATCTTTGTCTTCCTGGCCCTCTTCATCCTCAGAGGGCAGAGTTCTGGACACGGCAGACTCCAGGTCACGACTGAGGTCATAGTCATGGTCCCACTCCAGGGGGATGGAGTCCACACTGGCAGGGGTGTCTCGTCCTGACCGCTCGCTCCGAAGGGGCTGGGCAAGTGAGAGGGAGGGGTTGGAGGAAGGCTGGGGGGAAAGCACACTGTCCGCAGAGGTGTCATGCCAGTGGAGGTCCGAGAGAGCTGCAGAGTCATCCAGCTCCAGCTCCCGGTCAGAGAGGTCGTGCTCATCATCTGGGAGCTAGAAATGCAGTCAAACCAACTCCGTTACCGCAGCGATCAGGTGATCCCCTTACCACCGCTCACTCTGCTTCCCACCGCATCTCACTGTGAAGCTCATCCTACCTCACTGGGGGGTCATTTTAAACTCCCGTCATCAAATCAATAAGAACCCTCTGACCACTTTTAAAAATGTCTTATAAATTGATCTACCAAAGCCTCAGTTTTATCACTGGTAAAATGGAAATAATATTAAAACCTGCTTCAAAGAATTGGGGTAAGATTAGAGAAGCTAATATAAATTAAGGCAACTTAGTACTGTGACTGCCATACGACAGGCACACAATGGCACAAAAGGCAATCGCCAATACACCTTAGCCTGTCCTTTTTAAACTTATATCCCAGATACAAAATATATTTGATCATAGAAGGTTCCAGATGTTCTAATAATAACATCTCTACAATGAGATTTGATTATGGCAGCAATTAGAGAAATGGAAGAGAAAGAAAATTCAACCAAACCTCATCAATTGAGCAATATTCACATTGCTCAGGTTTCCTCTAGAAGCTTCTTTCTCCTATAGGGGATAAGTGCCAAACACTCTTCTAAGTTCTCTCTCTCTCTCTCATTAAACCAGTCTCATTAAACCAATTTTACAGCTGAGGAAACTGAGGCAGAAGACATAAAGTAACCTGCCCTAGGTTGTGTAGCCAACAGGTGTCCGAGCTGGGATGGGACCCCGGGCATTCCGGCCCCAGGCTCCGGGCTCTCGCCCACTACACAGCGCTACCTAACCCCACAGAAGTCATGCTCTTTAGACCTCATGACAGCAGAAAGCAATGATACCCACAGGCAGGCGAGTCAGCTTCTTATGGTACCGCTCCACGCGCCCGAACACCTCCTGGCAGTAGCGCCGCAGCTCGTCCAGCTCCTCCTGGATGACCGCCGCATCCAGAGGCTCACTCTTCTCTATCAGCTGCTCACCCTGGGCGATTATCTGGTCAATCTTACCGTGGTTCAGCGCGATCTCCTGCTGGAAGGCCTAGGGAGCACAAGTCGCAGGCCATTTTTATTGCTCACGCTGACACGAAACTATGATAAGATCCCTGCTTAGAAAAGCCATATAGGGGATACGAATTTACCTTAATTTAAAACCATCATAAAGTTGATAGCATTGGTTATCCCTGATGAAAAACAATTATAACCATTACAGCGCCACTGAAATAAATTTAGCGCTTTAAAGAATATATTTGATATTTTTAGATTTCTTGATCGTACATCATACCAAGCAAATGACAATGCCATAGATACTTCTCGGATGACTCTTTT